GGATTTGAAAATTTTGGAGTCTCTACATATCTTTATACGAAAACCGTGTCTCAATAATGCGTTTAGTTCATATAATCTGGAAATAGTGAATAGCTAGGCTTTTATATTCTTTTCGTGACCCCTAGGACTAAGTTGTTCCAATCGAGTTCTGTTTTTCGATATAATGTTAGCTTTTGTTTAGGTTTTATGACTGTCTTAGAATTTTGACTTATAAATATGATTTTATTCATTATTAGTTTTTCGAACTGATGATGAAGCTGGACTCCGAAACGCTTTCAATATCGATATGGTGAATTTGCTTGGTTTTTTTGCTTTTAAATTTATTGTTAAGTTACAACAATTTTAATACAATTTTGCCTCTAACAAATTTTTGAACCAACAGCGACGTCTATTTCACAGGATCCAACGTTCACCTGTTATGTGCTCGGATGTACACTACACCAGCTGCGTCATCAATGTCGACATCGCATTCATCGACACGGTAAGATAGCATTCGAAATGTTTTTATACCATGTTTGATGATTTACACTGCATGACACTCATCACGATTTTTGCCATTCAATGGCTTTCACTTCCTTTTCAGTTTTCAGTTCATGTATTTCCCAATGCGACTGTTTTAAAATGCGTAAATTTTTGAAACGTTGGCTCAGCCAACTTCACATTAATTTTCATGTGTCAATCTCTGTAGTGCTCATTTTCCTAGTAAGATTCTATATATTATATTCGTAGCAAAGTTTGATGATCGTCAGATTCTGAATTACCAGGGATTATATTGTAGTGATGGTAGAAAAAATTCGCTACAAGCCCTCCAACCCATGCATAGTATAGTAGTATAGTATCTTCGGCGTAGACGAATAGGCTTGAATAGGCCAGTGGCCGAATCTTGTACTATTCTTCCATGGCTTGTTCGCAGATCTAAAAACTTGCCATTGATCAGATCTTTTCAACTGAGTGATTTGAATACGGACTTTCAATGATTCCGTAGGGTACTAGGCATTTAAAGACTGAACATATGATCCTGCATATGCCTTGTCTAGTTTGTTCTTAAACGTGTTCATACTCGGAGCGCCAACATACTCCGAATATGAACATGTTCATACTTCGAGCGCCAACTCGGAGTTGCATCGCAGTTTTTTTAGCCTATGGCCATGGCCCCTGATGTTGGTTCTTGTTTCACCTTCTAAGAATCCTTCTGGAATCATGAATAAACCATGAGTATACTTGAATACTTCAATGAGGCCACCACGCAGACGTCGATAACAGAGCCTTGGAAGCTTCATAATCTTTAACCTTTATCCATAAGACTAGCCCTTCAAGCCTGGAATTACCCTTGTTGCACGTCTTCGAACATTCTCTACAAATTTTTTGTCCATTTCAAGCTTCGGTGACCACACGGCGCTTCCAAACTCTAAGTTTGGGCACACGACAGCGACAAACCATAGCTTCATCGCTTCTGCATCTAGGAACTCTTAGAAGCGTCTGATCAGTCCAAGAAGTTTATTGAATTTTTAACTTGCGTTTCAATACGTCGAGAAAATTTCAGCTCCTTGTCGACTTAAACTCTCAAATATTTTTAAAACGTTTTTCTTAGCTTAGGTTCGCGTTTGTTTGTTTGTTTGTTTGTTTGTTTGTTGTTAACATTGACAACGAAAATTAGCCCACTTCTGATTGCTCTAGACATCTAAAATTCGGCATGCAGGCTATTTTCGCCTAACAATTTCAGATACAATCATAAAAACTAGCAATTCGAGTTCTAAATTAGCTTAATTGATTAAAGTATATATATATATATTATATATATTTTGATGTGCGGGCGCTGACATTATAGACGAGCAGGCGGTGACGCTCCGTATCATCGATACGTACGTCAAGTAGCTATCGAACCACGTTTTTCATGTAAAGAATTTTATTTAAAAAGTTTTTTTTAAGAATTTTATTTCATACTAGACTTTGCTGTATGCTTTGCTGTTCGTTGTTCTTCTCGACGGGAAGTCTTTACACTTGTCAGCATTAAAACGCAGCTGCCACGCATCAGTCCATTCAACTAAACTATCAAGATCATGTTGAGTTGCATTTTAATTGACGCATCCTTCAATGTATTATAAACTTGTGCGGCATAAGCATGCATGGAGCACACGCTTGACCCTACTTCTGGCAGATCGTTTGTAGAAGCAACAAACAAAACAGGCTTATGAAAGCTTCCTTGTGGCCCGCCGTTGCGCACAGTTACCCAGTCTGACACGGGTTCGTTAATACGGACACCTTGCCGTCTACCTGCTGGAAAATTTCTGATCAATTGGAGTACATTTCCTCGATAATGCGTATAATATATTCCGCGTGAGCAACAGGTGCTCATGTGGAACACTGTCAAATGCTTTGGCTAAGTCTAGGTACACTGCATCCACTGGCTACCGTTGGTCAAGCAGGCTAGTCCAATCGTTCAAAGTAGACAAGAGGTTAGTGGTACAGGATCTACCGGCAATAAAGCTATGTTGACAGTCTGATAGGAGATGGTTAACAGTCAAGTGATCGATAATGCTATCCCTCACAACGGATTCCATTACCTTCCAAACAACATTTCTAAAACTGACAGAGATGATAGTTACCGGAGCTACTCTAGTGAGTCTAGTCACCTTTTTTGAACAATGGTGTCACCTGGTTGGTTGGTTGGTGATTATTGGAGCTTCGAAGACTTCTCCATGTAGCTTCAATTGGTGTCACTTGATCTTTTTTCCAGTCGGCCTGCAAAGTCCATCATTCAAGGTTTTTCGAAAGAGTTCTTTCTAAGGGCCGGCCAGAAAGATTGCTAATTCTTGGAGCAATCTAGGGTGAAAGCCGTCTGGTCCACATGACTTGTTGGGCTTCGGAGCAACCAGGTGCTAGAGAACCTCTTCTCGTGTATGTCAAAACCTGTTAACTTCGAGCCTGCTGGGCGTTCATTAATAACTGGAATACTGTTCAAGTCTTCATCGATGAAAACATTGAGAGAGAACTGATTTCGAACGTTAGATGAACGCCATGCCCTCATCAGAGGATATCTTTTGTTGATATACTTTCAAATCAGAAATACCGTCGTTTATCTTACACTTTGAACTAGCGTACGAAAAAAAGGATTTTGGGTCCTTTTTGCGTTTGTGGCAATATTTTTTTCAAAATTTTCACTGCTGTGCGACAGATTCTTTTTGCTTGATTTCGCGCTCATGCGCATAGGCTATAATCAGCATCGCCACTTGGCCTTCTTGGTCTAAGCTTAGTTATAACTGTACTGTTCATCCACTGACTTTCTGACTCCACCGAGCTTAATCTTAGGTACACGAGCATCAACTGCCGACATAACCGTGTGTTTTAGATATTACCAAGCATCAGCCGCACTCTTGTCCCTAAGTACAGTCCAAAACATTTGCTGCACTTACTAAATCACGGAGTTTAACATTGTGGCATTTCGCAAAGTTAAAATGTTCAGGCTTCAGAGGCGATTTTTCTGTAAAGCACTTAATACTGAAAAACAATGATTGGTTGTGGCTTTTGCCAAACGGCGCCTTGTCGCGAAGCTCGTTTAACATTTATTCTTTAATAGTAAACAATAAATTTAGAACATTTGGAGTCCGTTTACGCCTAAAATGGGATGGCTTGGTGATGTGCTAGATCAAAAATAAGTCTCGTACAGACTCATGCATGAACAGAGATACTGGGTGATTCCTACTTCTTGGAGAGGATTCATCTGCCCAGTCTATTTCTGGATGGTTAAAGGCACCAACGATCAACGTATGCAACCTGCTGAAAGTCATGCTCGGTAAAAGGCTGTTTAATATTGTGCTTTATCATTAGTAGAGGAACTGTTTGGTGATCTATACACGACGCCTATGAGTAGGCTATTCGTGCCTTTAGAGAAAGTTCGCACCTAACATATTCTCATGTTGATTGGTGGTCTGCAGATAACTTAACTTGCTGGGCCGCATAAAAATTTCTAACCCACAGATCTGCACCTCCACTTCACTGCTCCTCATGTAAGTTATGAAAACAATTAAAACCTGGCAACTGTAATTCAACCGGTACAATTTTCCACCGTGATTTTAGGGAGTGTTTCAGTAATTCAAATAATGTTCATACACACGTTTGCGATCACAGTGAACAGTCCACTTTTTTTGTTCAAATCGGAATCCGAGTTCGTGCAGATACATTTCAAAACTTTTAGTGCACATCTACTTAGATGTATGTCTTTGCGTCTTGCACTATTTAATTACAGGGCTGGATCTGCGGACATAACTCCTCTTGATTAATTGTTTTCCAGCTCCTCTGACTGACCGTGAGCGGCCGGTGTTGTCTTGACTTCTCGCGAGTGGTTGACCTGATTTCCCGTGCTTTTCTTCCCTGATTCTCTCCAGCCATTTCCTACGAAAATTCGCTCTCCCCAAAAGGGTGGAATAGTTCTTTACAAAATTTGACTTTAACTCGGCGGATTCTCTTAGTTTTCTCGTTGCCTTTAGCACGCTCCAAACCTGTGCAGGATCCTTCACAGTCGCCAACTGAGGTCTGATGGTGTTGGCAGCAGCATCCTACGAGCACAGCCTCTTGCACGTTGTAATATCAACCAGTACGTGTGCTGAATGCCTTGCTTGGTGAGCTCAAACGACCAACCGCAGACCATGCAGTCATCAGTTACTCGAAAAATGAATTGCTTATATTAACCGCAGTGACAGAAATGTGGTTGTTGATATTACGAGTTAAAAGTTGGTAGAAGTTACTCTCGGCTGGGAAATTGAAAATTAATCTCTACACCGTTTCTCCTCTCATGGAGTATCACTGAGTTTGAGCCTCGCTGAAGTTGACTCTAAACTTTGGCTCCTGTTTTGCATAGTATTGCCTATTTCTTGTTTGAATATAAGCTGAGCCTGGGTCTAGTTCTTTAATCCTATAAACTGGGTTTTCATTAACGAACGGCTCCTACCAATACACTCTCATCTATATCTACAACTGCACAAGGGTTTGAAAGAAACAAAATTCGGCAAATAATAATTATTCTGGTGAGCACTTAAATCGTAATTCTGAAACTCTCTGAAAACCTGAAAATGGAACAACGGTACGTCATATATACTATAAAGCTCGAATATGCATCGTTTACATTGCAATTTCAAATATTAAGAAAGTAATGCAAAAAACAATTTGTGAATTAATTGCAATTAGATGAACGCGCAATCAAACGAGATAGCAGGTAAGAAGCTCAGACGCAGATAATCGAGTGGGTCAGAATAATAAACATGGATGAGTCAGCTGCTTGACCATGAATGAACGTCATTTATGACCCACTTGGAACTCAATGACCTAGTCTTGAATCTCGAAGGTGAGTCAATGCCGCCACACAAGGGAGCAAGTGAGTGGATAATATTCCCATATTCAAAGAAGTTCAGTTGACACATTTAAGTGGATCATCAAGACGCATTACCTTTCCACAACACTAGTATACCGATGCAACAGACATGCTTACGCTATACTTTTGGCGCGTATTCTAATCAACTACATGTAAACAACACGCGTGCATTGAACATCACGCGCATCTGTTCAGTTGCTGGCGTCTTGACTGCGGCGTTCACCGCCGGGTTGGCCCAGCACGCGGTCGCTGAGGCAGCCCCGCGCCACAGACCTGATGGAGTTGTCGGGCAGACCGAGCTTTTCCATCTGTAGAGAGGAGCGTGGATCTGTTGCACCAGAGATATGCATGACCGTGCCATACAGAACTCTGGTGCAAGAGATCCATTATAAAATGATCTGATGCAACAGATCGTATTATAATGAACACTATTGCACACTATTGAGTGCTTCAGGTTTTATAATGCGTATTTAGTAATTGATTTGTTGTTTCAAAGTATGGAGGTATGGTATCGAATCGTAAATGTGAGCATTTCCTCGTTTCGCAAGATTCCTAGAAAATGTATAAGCAAACGCTCGATAAATTCGATCGTTATTTACTCAGTAACTAAATAAGAACGGTGCTCAAGATATTAGAGTAAAGTAACGGACAATCGATAGAGGCGCTTTTTCACGTTTTTCACAGAGTGGTCGCATTGAAAGCATATATAAAACTGTAGGAAGTTGATATAGTATCTTACATCGTTAACTAGATCATGATAACTTACATCTTGGACAAGTGCGTAGTCCAAATCGATGGTACCGTAAGTATAATGTTCATCCGCGTACACGCACACGTCGGATCCCGTTAAGTTCACGTCGCTGTTGGTTCCAAATTTTGTTAGTGGATCAACATAGAGTAAGCTATGACGTGGACAGGTCGAGTGGTTTAATAGAGATCATTCTGATCATCAAAGATAGCTGAAAATTTGCGCTAAATTAAGCTTCGGCACCGCTGTGAGCTTTCTGTTCACTGCTGGTCTCCTCACATGGCAAGGTTTAGATTGTGGTTATATAAGTCGAATACTACCGTAGTTAGCTTTACTGAGATAAAAATGTGTGACTGGTGTTTTATAGGCATGCTAGGTGTTTCATAGGCATGTGATAGTGTCAAGTTCTGGAGTCAACAAGGCTTGATCTGACTTCAGAACTTGACACTATCACATGCTGTCCTTTGACATGAAAAGAAAGAATCGAACTATGTTAAAATACAAATTCTTAGAGTTGAGTGTATCATTTATCAATACTTTACGCATCACGAACTTTTAAAACGACATTGTTTAAATTGATCGGGGAGTGTCTAAGCAAAGTATAGATATTGCCTCAAAAGCATACTATCATCGCTGCATATTGCCACGACTAACGTGTAGAACGTCCATGCCGACTGTCCGGTCACGATGAGAGACGACACGGCCATGTCCAGGTCCCCCAAGTCAGCGGCGTTTGTGTTGCCCCTGAACTCCTTACCCCGGAAGATCGTCCCCTCGTACAGGTTGTAGTAGTCGTCGTTGAGGCCGTACGGACTTCCTGCGTACCTCAGCGACGATACCTGAGTGTAAATAAGTCTAATGAAACAGAATTTGCCTCAAACCTCTGTATGGAAATTATGTTCATTTTTATAATGGAAAATTTAAGGGAATTGTCAATATATAAACATAATGATTCTTTGGAATAATTCCGTGGGGTATTTGTTTCTGTTCACGAGAAATCCATACCAAGTCATGCTCCAAAATCTGATAACCATAGAAAAACTTGAAAACCCATAGTATGATTACATTTGGGAAACTTCTATATCAGTTTTACTTACCATGTTTTGGCACTGAGGGCTCCAATTTCCGCACTCGTATGGCCGAAAATGGCATTCAGTTTCATTGGTGAGCGGGTCGTAGTCCACTTCGTCATAGAGCAGCCAGCTGAAATTTTGTGCTCGAATGAGTGAACTGATTTCTGACATTCAGACAATGTTTTTTTTTTTTTTTTGTTTGCAGGGATGAAAATCCGGAACTTGGATCTCTCAACGGGATCATGTCAACCCGGTCAGTCAGCAACATTCTGTTTTTATGCTACGGTATAGCTTGTTTACGCAAATAGTTTTACGAGACGGTTTAATTCCACTAGATTGTGATGACTATTATATTTTTCTGAGATCCACTATATTATTTTCTGTTTCTTTTGCTTTGCTATGAATAAACATACTGGGAAAAAATTCAACCATGGAGGTTCAGGTTAATTCAAAACACAAGGACAAAACCGAATCTAAAGCACATACCAAAATACACCTCCTGATTATTTAGGCACTATCACGACTGCCGGGATTGGATTAGAAGTTAGATGACGAGAGTACATTGACCCATCATCAATAATGAACAGCCAGAAAACTTGAAAATGATCTAGCTTGCCTGAGATTGTAGCAACTGTCAAACAGGTTGCTTACTATTTGATATCTGGAACGTTGCCTACCGGTAAAAGTTTCAGATTCTTCTGCACTAATAAGACGCAGATTCTTTTGTAGTCTCATTATTTTTCATGAATTACGGATGTCTAAAACTTAAAATATTTTTATATCCGTCAACAACTTTAAGTATCTTTTTCAATGACCTATGCAAGTGTTCTTTCGCGAGTGAATTTCTTTCTCGACAACCTATGTGAACATCTTTCGTGTCACTTAGTTCTATTAATTAATATCCAGGAGGAATTGGTAAAATAAGTGAGGTACTGTGACCAAATTTATTGACTTCACTCACTATCCAACACCACATGAGCTCTCGATGGTGTTGTCCATCTGCACGACGCTGAGGTCGGGCATGTACTCCGTGAACTGGTAGTGGGCGCCGGTTTGGTTGAGGCCAGCGTAACCTGTCAGGTACCGGAAATCATCTGCTCCTGCAACCCCTGCTGGGGAAGAAACTCACATAACGTCTGTGACCGATGACCATTATTTATCGACGATCTTAATGATTTAATTTGTGAAGAGAAACTGATTGCACAAATTGAACACATTTTTGAGTGTATTCTGGAAGGTAAAATCGATCAAGGAATGCATAGAAACGTTAATGAATACTAGGTTGTGTTACCTTTCTCGGATCGAATGATTGAAGTGACAAAAACTAAATGGCCCAAGAAAACTAGGAAATTCATTTTGATCTTCTTTCAAGACAAAATACCAAACTTTGAACGTTTCGAGGAGCGACTGCAAAGGCTCTGGTCTGGCGATGCGTTTAAATCTTACCAGTTGAGTGTCTTGAGAAGTGGCGAGTAGTGGCAAATGTTATACTTCGCACGAGTAGATGATTGAGTGACATCAATGTGTAGCAGAGATAATGATGTAAGAATGATGATTGGCAGAACTTTTCCCCAATGCGATACCGAAGAGACGTGAGATCGTTGTCTTCTCAATTATCTAATCGAAGTTCTTCGGTAGCCTAATAAAGTTATTACCAGTAGTTTCACGGATCGGTCCCTTAAGGCATTACATGACATCATTATTAATAGACAACTTACACTTACCGGTTGTCATGCATTATTTAACCGGACAGTTCTTGCTGGTGTCGTATCTGTGAGTGATTTATCCGAAAAAGGTTTCAACTTACAAAAAAACCTTCTATCTGGACCAAACTCTTGTCTTATATGCTTATAAAGCAAGAAGTTTGTATGAGGAGCACCTTATATCCAAACTCATGACTTCCAACTTGCCTACCAACTCAAGCTAGTTTACATGCATTAGCCAATCTTATAAGTAACTTGGAAGAGATGAACGTTACATTTTTCTGTTTGTGCATTTGAACATTCCGTCATGTCGACACAAGCAAAATTTAAATTACAATTTTTTTTAGTTGCAAACACCCAGCATAGCGTTTAAAATTACGGAAAATTTATGTTTACCTTTTACTGAGCATCAAAATTCAATTGAACTACTGATAAATTTAAAAAAATATTTCTTACATGAAAGTTTCCCTAAGGGAGTGCAGCCGTGCACCACCAATTTTGTGCACCAATAAGCCCTGAATCGAACGCCTTGGATCTCTCCGGACATCCACCAATCAGCCGTGAACCACTCGGCTTTGTCCTCCTCCGGCCTTGCGTAAAACATGCTGTGCACCACAGACCGCGGATCGAATATGACTTCCTGACATCGTTAAATTACGTAATTTTCCGTTCACCGCATCTGAGGTTAGGTTTCAGATAGCATAGTTCTGTTCCAAAATTTATCGTCCTTCGACGGGTGGCCGTTCGACAGAGGGCTGGTTAATTTATTCGACGCACGGCCTAGATATGGTTGTCCAGTGGTATTGAAGGCTACGTTCCGGAAGGCAGGAATCATGATGGTCCATTACATGCAGGGCAGTGGTTGTCTTCGGCAGGCGACCCTTCCCTAACAGTATAAGATAGATGTAACCACGGTGGAAAATGCTCTCGAAGAAATTTCATTAAAATCCCTTTGAGATCGTAGTTATAATGTTATGTTTCAACGGTTCAGATTTAAAACTGAAGTGTAGCCAGATAAGGAATCAAATAGTTGGTATTGCTAGAGTGAATGAGGAAGAATGAAAGGGAAATAATTATAGAAAACCGTTTGCATATCATTCTTCTATAAGCTTCAGAAGATGACACATGAAGCAATAAACAGTTTCCCGGAGACGTTTCCCAATTCCCTGCGGTCCGTTTGATCACCACGCGAACCGTGAGAATTATGACATGTGCGGATATTGCAGACTGTTCTCATAACTTTGGCCTCAGCCCGTTGCTAACCTGCGGTGTACATTAGGAATAACACAATTAATTACATGACCTATGCCTTGATATTCTCCAGGAAGATCGGGCAATAGCGCGACGCGAGTCTCTTGATTTGAAGCCATAATGCATTACCTTCCATGTTGGCTATGCCTTTTTTGTGGTTCCTGTCCTATGTGTCGGGGATCGCATTTCAAGCCTTTATTTCCTTAAGCCTCTGATAGCTTTACCTACTTTATGTAAGGAACTACCAGCATGACGGTGAATCAAGAAATAACTTGAAAAATTACACATATATTAAGTTTTTTTGAATCAGAAGATACAACAGTGATCATCAAATGATTCGTGGTCTCTTGTGGTTACGCTTTCCAACTCCAAGTATTAGCTTGTCAGTATTGGAACAATTTCATGATGACGTTTCTGATCTTCTAGGCCTATACTTTCACAAAAAGGTTAGGAGATCGTAAGTTCATCAGCCAGTCATTGGCGGACTTTCTAGCAAACTTCACCAATCATGGACAAGAAAATAGAGCGTAAGTACTTACGTTCACTTAGCGAGTTTTGAAAGTATGGCCCCTGGCCGTTTTAGTTTTTGTCGCTACAATGAACCTAAATGACCGCGGTAACACAATACGTCCACTTCGGAACATCATGTATTTCCAAACCAAATTATAATTCTTCCACTCCAGAAAATTCGATAGAAATATCTACGAGCTCCATGGATATTGTACATATAGACGCTGTTGGGGCGCGTATCCAGGACACTTATCGGGTGGGAATATTGTATATAGGGGCTGTTGGGGGGCGCATCCAGGATATTTCCACTTCCAGGATTGCATTGGAATTTATATGGCGAGAGACCATTGACCCACCAATAATTATAAGCGACCGGAAAGCTTAAAAATATAACTCAGTACTCACTGCAGTGAGTGACAGAGAGCGCATTTTCTCGTCGACGAAAACGCGAAGTCACGGACAGACAGACGGACGGACGAGCTCAATATTGCATTTTTTCATGAGAAAATGCGCTAAAAATGACTTAGTTTGCCTGAAGCCGGTGGGCGTGGCTGCTGAACAGTTTGCTGCAAGTTTCCGATGACGCAATGATTCTACTGCATTTTGCCCTATAATGTTTTTCGTGAACTGAGGAGGTCTCAAACGTAAAACACATTGAAATCCAGCAATGATTCCTAATATCTTGGAATTCTATCTCAACGAATATCTCTTAACGACCTATGCGAGTGCATCGCCAATATCTATGGTGACACTTATGTACTCATAACATCTAATAACAAGTCGTATAAAAAGTAATCAAGTGGGATCGAATGTACGGATTGCACTCACAATCCAAAACCACAGCCGCTCTCGTTGGTGTTGTCCATCTGCACGACGCTGAGGTCAGGCATGTACTCCGTGAACTGGTAGTGGGCGCCGGTTTAGTTGTGGCCGGCGTTACCTGTCAGGTACCGGAAATCACCAGCTCCTGCAACTCCTGCAATTGAGAGAAACTACCACACGTCCGCAGACTATGATTAATTTTCATCAAAAATCTTCATCGGTGAAACTAGAGGAGAGAAAACATTGACATGGATTGATCACATCTCTGTAGTGTATTCTTGAAGGCAAAAATCTACCAGGGTAGAAAATAGAAACCTAATTGTGTTACCTTTTTCATTCAGATTGCTTGAAGTGATAGAAGCGAAAAAACACCAGAACTCTATGAAATTCATTTTGATATTGTTTCAATACAAACTATGGATCGTTGGAAGTTTCGAAGGCCAGACGAAGCAAAAGTTTCGAAGGTTCAGGCGAAGCAAAAGACAAAGGTTCAGGCGAAGCATTAAATCGTACTACGGTGAGTGTCATGAGAAAAGGCGGCAATCTGCGCAGATGTCATACTTCTCACGAGTAGATAATAAGGAGTGGCATCACTGCAGTGAAGAGAGAGGTATCACTAAAAATTTGTGACAGGATTCGGTATCATAATTCGTATATCACCATATACTAACGAAAGCCGCAAATGCATCACTTTTAGAATTTTTACATGATTTTTTGCTTAGATTGCAGGACGCATTGCACCTGATTTTTACTAAATGACCTATTGTAAAGTTGTGAAATAATTTTAGAACGCACCTGGTAGAAGGCGTGCTTAAGGGACAAACAGGTACCTAGACAAATAATTATGAGTGCCTGCCCTATACCTATACCACAATTAAATAAGCAACAACTTCATGGTCTTCATTCGACCGACCGGTTGTGGTTTAGTCGTGGTTCTGACGATAAATGGTGACTCAAGATTCCTTCCATATCTAGTTTTCAGTTGCATAAAAATATACTTGTAAATTGATCGAGCATCATACTGAGGTAAGCTTGTGATTACTATCCATAACATAATGCCGCGCTCGATTATCTCGCAACTCGTGGGAATTGTGATATCTTTACTGTTAATCTCTTATGTCCAAGACACTCCACCAAGTCTATTATTAACATGACGTTAATGTCAGCGGAATCTTTGTTAAAGGGCCTCGAATCTTCCAGTCTTCGCTCCTCTCGAGGAGAGATATCACAAAAAATTGTTCACCAGATTGGGTTCCATAATTCGTATAACACCAAATGCTAACGAAAGCCGGAAATGCATCACTTTTATGATTTTTACATAATTTTTGCTGATATTGCAGGACGCATAGCACCAAATTTTTACTATATGACCTCATGTAAAGTTGTGAAATAATTTTTGAACGCACCTGGTAGAAGGCGTCTTTAAGGGACAAACAGCAACCTACATAAATAATTATGAGTGCCCACCCTATACGACAAGCAACCCCCTTCGTGGTCTTCATTCGACCGACCGGTTGTGGTTTATTCGCGGTTTTGACGATAAGTGTTGACTCCAGATTTCTTACATAGCTAGTTTTCAGTTACATAAAAATATACTTGTAAATTGATCGAGCATCATACTGAGGTAAAATTATGATTACTATCCATAACATAATGCCGCGCTCGATTATCTCGCTTCTCATGGGAATTGAGATATCTGCACTGTTAATCTCTTATTTCCAAGTTACTCCACCAAGTCTTATTTTAACATGACGTTAATGTCATCTGCATATAAAGGGCCTCGAAACTTCCAGTCTTCGCTTCTCTCGCTAGGACTATTCAAAATGATGTATTTGCAAATGCCTATTTTCTAGTTTTTACAACACTTCTCTTTAACTTCACTTCTTGTCTGTTTGTTTGTTTGTCTGTCTGCTACAAATCTTATAATCAATATTTAACATACTTCTACTTATCCTATCGATCTGAAATTTTGCACACTTGCGTAAAGTTGGAGACAATGCATGAATCAAATGACAAAATAAAATAATTTTAAGAATAAAAAAAAATTTTTTACAACACTTCTCTTTAACTTCACTTCTTGTTTGTCTGTTTGTCAGTCTGCTACAAATATTATAATCAATATTTACCATTCTTCTACTTATCCTATCGGTCTGAAATTTTGTACACTTG